AAGATGTTTTGATTATTTCACATTTTATTATTTAAATTCGTCATAATTTTAACACTTTAAAAGTTTGGTTAGTGCACTCACTACTCAATCTCAAACTCTGCCAACAGGCACAGCTATTGGTTCACAACCTGCCAAATGCTGCCATTACTGGCTCCACACTGAAACACCTGCTTCAATTTAAGGCAGCTTCGCTTAAATGATATGTAAATGAAGCAATGGAAGGCTGGCACTAATTTGATCTTAAATCTCTGCAAGTTACCATGTAGCACGAAAGTTTCATGAATCACACATTGAGTAGATTGTATGTCATTAAAGGAAGTCAAATCTGTGCTCTTTTACATGCAACTTTGATCAATAAGCACCACTCCATTTTCAGAGTACATGATAGTTCTCAAAAACATAGAACTATGCAAAATAATACTTGTCAGCACCCATTTGTGATCTCTGCATCTCTCACAGAGCACAAGGCTTTTGCATAGGACTACTACTTACATTTCTACGTTACAACCTTGCCAAAGCAAGTAAAAGGAAAAATGTAAAGGCAATCCAAAGATAAATAAATTCTTTAAAACTAACATAAGGATAATACTAGTGCATATGTAACAAATTAATGCGTGAGTGGTGATATATATTTCATAATCATTTTGTGCTTAATACCACAATGTTTTAATTTTTTTGGATTACACTATTTAAACAAAATATGGTGCCACAAAGGGTTTGAGTGTTGCCACTGAAGAACTTTTGGTTCCCTAAAGAATCATGTTTGAAAAAGGTTTGTGACTGAAGAACCTTCAAATAATGTAAAGGTTTTAAGGGTTCATCATAGAACGCTTTGAATGTTTAAAAGGTTCCTCATATGCACAAATCTAATTCTTCTATGGCACTGCATGAAGAAACCTGCTAGTAAGGGTGGAAAAAATAATCTCAGAGGCTTCACAATTCACTCTTGCAAGATTTTGAATCGGTTCACATAAAGCACAAATTGGGGTTTTAAATAGGCTCTGCTTGGTAAACTATCTGAGTAAAATGATTGTGTGACAACAAATAATAATATAGTATGATTAAAGAAACAAGTCTTAACACATGCATGAGCTCAGGCACTCAAATTCACCTGCAGGATCTGTTAATGATTGAGATGCACCAAAATGCATCAAGAAAAACTTTTGTATTGCATCTTGGCACCCAAATTGAGATGGAATTGATTCATTAGGTATCTGACTTTTTAGGCATCTTTATTTTTAAGAGTGTAGGTTATCCTACCATGAAAACGACAACCTGTAACACTAATCAAGGTCAGGAAAAGTTTGAGTACTGAATGAACAAATCTTGCATCGTTTAAAGTTTGATAATACTGTTCTACAGAACTAAAAGAACAAGTACGGAAAGTCTTACCACACTGTAAGATTTGTTATAGAGCAAACGTGACTTGAAAGTATGCTCATTAAATCAATATTCACCGTTTAGAAACTGAACGATTGAAAATTCTCCACTTAAACATCTGGACAACAGGAAACTCCACATTTTACTTTCACTCAATAATCTCAGACAAATATCTAACATCACCCCAAAGTAAATTTGCCAGTATGATCACAATGTTTTTTACCAATTCAACATTAAAAATAAACCATAATGGAAACATAAGAATGAAAGGGTTTTGATCCAAAACGCATTTGAGTTTTCCTTATTTATTTTTACATATAAAGGAAATATCAAGGATAGCTCTATTATGATTAATACCACCTTCATTAGAGAAAAAAAAATCCCATTACACTTTACCTCTTATTCTTTTCAAAAACTTATAAATGGATATCCAGTATGTCAAAATGAAACACTTCAACTGCAGAATTAGTACAGTTAAAGTAAGACAAGTCATGTAAGACAAGTGGTTGATCTGTAGTACAATACAATGCCTAGCTCTATGATTCAACTATTACATGCAAATAAATAAATAAATAAATAAATAAATACATACATACACACACATTAAGGCTGTATTACATTGTGTGCAAATACAGTCAACAGGCATGCCATTATACTCATTTTACTAAAAAATTAGAAGCTGTTGTTGTTGAGTAGCAGCTTCAACCGCTTCTACCCATGCAACAAAACTCTATGATCAGCTGTGATTTCAGATTAACAATAAGTTTGTCTAGTGGCCCAGAGTAAAATAAAACCTGATAGGCTCTGGGGGTTTGAGAAGTTATTTATTTTTTTTTTTTTACACTGAGCCTCACTGCTAAGGGCTCATTCACACTGTTATGTGGTTTTCACCACAATTTAAAAACATTCTATGCATGATTTTGTTAATAGTGCACTGAACCTCTAAAAAGGTTTGAACTGATGATCAATGGAGAAGAACGGTTGAAAGAAGACTATGTTAAAGAAATTTTGTATGTTGTACTCATGCAACCCTTTAAAAATCTTTGTATTAAACCGAAAATTCTTGAGGCTTGTGCCTGGTTGAGACACTCATGTTTTGAAGTGTGCAGTGCTCAGGCTTTTTTTTTTTTTATATGGTGGAATATACAAATTCACTTTTATTCTGTGTATAGCAGAGCAACATAAACAATTTCAAATACTAAAATTCTAGTATTACTTAGCTTTAACTTATGGGCTCCTAATGTTCTAGGGATATGTCAGAAGATTGGAAGAATGCTGCTGGGTACATAGTAAGACTAAAAACCATTACAAATGCAACTCACAGACTACACGATTATTTATTTCTGAGAATTGTATAGTAACATTGTTTTTCAAAACAAGATAAGGTTCAGGTCATTGCTAGAACTGTAAAGGCCAGAGAACAGCGACCAAACACAAACAGAAATGTCTAGAATGTTTTCTCACCTAGGGCTGGACAATATGACAATATTTATCATTATCGTAATTAACTGTACAACACTGTCACAATACGCTTTGTTGGATTTTATCAGTGCTTACAAAACACAAATCAACTGCATGTTTCACTACAAAGAGAGAATAATTAGCCATGTTTAACTAAATTAGCGCCATGCAGTACGTAAAAAGACACATTTATAAAGGTTTATAAAGGTTTTTTTTAATGTAGCACTTCTGACTCGTTAATATCTGGTCTAACTTATGAAACCTTAGCAAAATGAAATACTGTGATGTGATATCTATCACCAAAATATTTTTAATTAGCAATTGTTTCGATAACTGATGATTTTTGCCATATCGCTCACCCCTACTCCTCATTCATTTGTTTTGTCATTTCTTCTTCTGGACATTTTAAAGACAACTACAAACATTAAAAATGTTGGTGTTTGTTGTAAAATGTTTGGTCTGTGTTCTTTGGCCTTAAAGGAGATTAATTATGAGAACATAATTACATGGTTGAGATATAAACAAAGTCATTCAGAGTGGTTCTGTGTGAAATGCTCTGTTCTAGAAAAACTTGTGGAGTTTGAATTGTTCACAGTGGTAGTGATGGGAACCAGACATCTGAGGAGTTTAATGTCTCTGAATGCCTTCTCACATAAAGTTATGACAAGAAATTGTTAGATATATGCTACTGGTGTCTGAAACATTGCTTCATGATAGCTATTTAATTAAGTTTAATTTTTCAGATTTATCACTATTTACCATTAACATTACATGTAAAAACTCAGAAGGCATATGTAGGTTCACTGGTAGTTTTGGATAGTAAATAAAACAACTGTATTTGTATTGTAGACATCATGACTCCTGGTTCGTATCACCACCACTGTAAAGAAATCAGAGTCTGTAAGTTTCTCTACAATGAACCCCTTCACATCAAACTACTCTGAATGACCGTTTACATCTCAAGGACTAAATTATTCCTAAATTTTAAAAACTGGTGGAATTTCCCTTTAAGGAGGACAATATCAGTTGCTACTGGACAGATCTGTAAATAAGTACTTCTGCTCACCAGCATTCAGTCAGAACCATAAGACATGAAGCTTTATAAAATAGACACAATTCATTTCTCTAAGTTTGACAATTTACTTTAGCAGCCCAGAAAGGAAGCTGTCATGACTGTCCATTAAAGGTTTTTATTATTATTCATGAACAAAAGAAGTGGAAAACACCGACCAAATGTCAGAAGCTGAAGGAAAGATCCAGGGGGGAGGAGAGAGAGGAGATGTCAAAAATAAACAGACAAACAAGTCATTTTACACACGAATGTTTGGGGTCTAACACGCAGATATGCACCATGACTACGTTTAGAAGAAGGCCAAAGGACAATTTAAATGCACATGAACTGTAATGGCGATCCATCGTGATCCAATATCATTTTATATTTGTTTTTTTAGACCTTAATTCGGTCCACAGCGGTCAACAAACGGTCATTTTTTGTTATGGCATGATGTGTTTAGCTCTGTTTTCGACATCAACACGACTTCCGCCCGAACGGAAATAGACTACCGGTAGGCCTGAGCGTACGGCTAGGCTATAAAAAATACCGAATCTACAATATCCAAAAGTACCACGTGAAGTACAGAACGAAGGCCCAAGGCAAGCCAGAAACCGGTCCGAAAAATTTGGAGACAAGCCTAAACGCTGTAGAGGTTTCTAGTACACTAATCGAGATACAAGTCTACAGATAGAGCGATACTTCCACATTACCAGTTCAACAAGAACACACCCACATGCCGATACATGTCGCACATGTCGGCGGGGGATATCAGCTGAATCCGGCAATTTACAAACGACACCAATATTACCCTACTACATAGTCAAACTAAAAGACGTTATAGCAGTATCCCTGACTTAAAAACATTTTCCAACGTTACAAGCGAATTAGTCAAACGGCCATTTCAGTATGCTTTAACAAATTCGCCTAGGACTAGTCCTGACACAGGGGTCTAAAAGAAATGGGCCATATTTGTATTGCACTGAATGTTGGGCCTGGCAGATTAAAAAAAAACACAGGCGAATTCGGTCTGCAGCTGCAAACCAGACAAGTATTTTCATAGTCACAGGCCTTAGAAAACCACCCGTTTCCCATTTTAGAAACTTACCTAAAAGTAGCAGCCTGTGCGTGGCTCTGTAGATCTGCTTGTCTTTCTGAAGTTGTTTCTCAATTTTCTTGTTCGCTTCTCTTTGCGCCTTCTCTTCATTCCGCTGATCTTCGGTCTTACTATTCCCCAAGCAGCCCATCTTCCCGCGAAAGAAAGGTCCAGGGGAGAGGGGATATCGAAAAAAAAAAAATAAATAGATAAAACGAGCTATTCTAGATCCGTCTGATCCACGAAATGGTTCGAACTGTCGGCGACATGTAGGCTATACATCTTCCACAGTCGTCCCAATGTAACATATAGCCTACCTCCGCTGTTATTTCAGCGATGACATTGCTGTGTAACTAATAAGTTCATTATGCGCGTTTTTCATAGCTCTGGGTGAAAGGGGACAGTAGCCTACTTTTTTTTATAACGACGATCCCTCTCAAATGTTTGGATAGGTCTCCGCTTTTTACAAGCTAAAGTTTATGTCCTAGACAAAGATGAAGGTTATTATCCATCCATACATTGATCACTCGAGGCCTCCACCCTCAACTTTCCAATAGCGAACAACGAAGGATAATTTCATGTCACGAAGAGGATTCGCCCTACGTACTGGAGCATCCAACTGAAAGAATAGCTCGTTTTGATTTCTTGTGCACTGCGGAGTGAGACGGAGACGGGTCCTGTTTATTTCTTAACATTTCAACACCGACAAGGCCGTGTTTCTCTCTCCTCGTTTCCTAGTCGCAGCCCCGTTCCACGCAGAGGCGGCCCTAGCCTAGCCTAGCCTAGCTAGCTAGCCAGACAAGCGAAAATTATTTAAACTACACGAACTGCATGCGTATCCTTCTCCTGCTGTTCATTCCCTCTCAAAAAAGCCGGAATTCCATAAAAGGATCGCGTATTTTGCACTAAGGCTCCGTGTATGTCGTTCGGTGCTGGGGAAATAATTCAATTTTTTCTTCCTTTCGCCGTTTCTGCGATGGCTGCTGCTCTATGCTGATTTTCCCCCAATCCAAGGGGCCTTCTCGGGCTTCTCTTCAGATTCAATACATGTACGTCCTTTCGCGTCGGAAAGCCTTCTCAGCCGAGTCCCTAATAGCCCAAAAGCAGCGCTCGTTGTGATCCTAATGCGCTAAAATGGCAAAACGACACGAATCTTTCGGCTTTCCTCCATATTCTTACAGCTAACTGGCTCGTCCACTGACAGCCTCAGCTTTGTGTTCTTTCAGGGATTCGAAGTAGCTACGTTCGCGCACGTGCACGAAGACTGGCGAACAGAACGGCGTTCGTCACATTCCTCCACTCCTGCCGTGGAAGTCCCTCGGCGAACGGGCTGATGTGCGAGCTCGGCGAAAAGGCTGTATTTTCTACGCTATTCTCCCCTCTTTTTTTTCCTCCAGGACCAGGGCAGTGAGGATAGCCAGCACTGAAGAGGTGGGGTGGGGCAAACAGCTCTCGCTGAACCCTGGGAACGGACCGAATCACATGATTACTTCAGAACGTCAGCGTTCTGAAATTCTGCGGAGAAAGGCGCCCTCTTCTCTTCGAGGCCAGGCAAGAAACACGGAGGGGATGAGTGATGAGCAGTGTGTGGACTAATCCCAGAGGACCGTCGTGTGTTGTAGGGATTGTCTTTCGACTCAGCATTACCTACATAGCAAGACTGAAGTCGTGGTTTATGTGTAAGCTTATTTATGCATTTGGCAAGGGAAAGGAAAAACATAAGTTAGTAGGCCCAACTTCACTTGTACCTTCTATTATTATATTGCACCAGTTAATTAACTTTTAAGTCGATTCAGGTATCATGGGTTATTAGGTAATACTGGACACTTAAAGAGGAAATTCCACAATTTTTTAAACATCTGCATGATTTAATTAAGTCATTCAGACTTAATTAGAAATGCTCTATTCTGAAGACAGAGTTGTTGAAAAGTATTGTGGTGATAGAAACTAGACATCTATATGTCTCTAAAAGCTAGCTCGCTAAAATCTATTAGATGAAATGGTTACGAATACACTGCCTGATGTCTGAGACATTGTTTTATGATAGTTTAGAGCAGTGAGGAACCCATGTTTGTAATTTTACAGCTCATTTTTATTTAACATAATTATCATGCTTGATGTAAATCGGCAAGCAGGGCTGGATTAAATTAAATTAAATTCAGCCCTGGACTTTTGCCTAGATGGGCTCATTACAACCACAGTGACTCCCCACCCATGACCCTCAAAAACCGGAACTGAGCCCCCATTACTGCCCGTGACTAAGCCTGCTATCACAGTTACAGTACATGAACGCATGTCAAACAACATGGTTTATCGCTTTAAAACATATGAGCATGAACATGTCAGTGGACACTGTAGCTTGGCTAAGAGCAGCTAGCTAGTTAGTACATTATCATTAAGCTAGCCATTTGTAGCCTTAGTGCACAAATCTACTTAATGAACTTATCCCTTCTGCACTTTGGCCCGGCATTTCCTCGCTCTGATATCCAATCAAATTGTGTACATTCATTTCTTTGCATATTGTTTAAGTAACGTTTTGTTCCGTATCACACATTCGCTTAGTGCTAACATACTACTAGTGTCCTATAAGGGTGCTAGCCTAAATTAGCATTATCTTTAAGTGTTGATGTTTATGGCCTGAACTACTGAAGGCCTAATTTTAATAGTCATGGTCTGCCACTGGTTTTGAGATATACATTTTTAAATATATTCATGGCAGACAGCCACATGCAAGGTATTGTAAGGCAAAACAATAGACAAAACATTTTTTTCAGGTGTACCACTATTTTAGCATTGTAGACATCACAATACCCATTACTACCATTGTAAAATAAGAAAAGTCAGTGAGTTTCTCTACAATGAGATACTATTTCACATCAAACCACTCTGAATGACTTTGTTTACATCTCAACGAATGAATCATCCAGAAAGTCCACCTGATGCTGACTAGTGAGTTCTTTATAAATAAGCAGAATATAAATGAGCAAAATTCCTTCAAAATATTTCTTTAATTAACTTTATAATAACACGAAGATCATTTTTTAATGAGACGTAAACACATAGCATGCATAGAATACATAACCTTAAATCTTAAACTCAACCCAGTCATTTTACATGGATTATTCTGATGAGTACACTGATGATACTGTAGGTCTTATATGTAACATTTTTACAATTCAAACACATTTTACAACTAATAATAATATGCATAACTCAAGTACTTATTTTAAACTGCAGTGTTTGACAAAAGCAGGCTCACATGATTTGTTGTATAAAATCAGTTACTTATTTCATTTTAAATATTACATTACATTTATAGATGCTGCAATCTGCTTGTTTACAAAGAAACTTTTATACAATACAGCTAATAACTACTGAAAATACAACCCAATTTCCAAAAAAGTTGAGACGCTGTGCAGAATGTAAATAAAAATAGGATGCCATGATATGCAAATCATGTAAACCATATTTTTACAGGAAAATACTGCAAAGACAACATATCAAATGTTGAAACTGAGAAATTTTATTGCTTTTTTAAAAATATATGCCCATTTTGAATTTGATGTCAACAACATATTCCAAAAAAGTTGGGACAGGGGCATGTTTATCACTGTGTTTCATCACCTCTTTCAACAGCACTATGTAAGCGTTTGGGAACTGAGGAGACCGACTGCTGTGGTTTTGAAAGTGAAATGTTTTCCCATTCTTGTTGATATAAGATTTCAGCTGCTCAACAGTTCGGGGTCACCTTTATTGTATTTTTCATTTCATAATGCACCAAATGTTATCAGTGGTGGCAGGTCTGGACTGCAGGCAGGGCAGTTTAGCACCCGGACTCTTTTAATAAGGAGCAATACTGTTGTAATACATGCAGAATGTGTGTTGACATTGTCTTGCTGTAATAAGCAAGGCCTTCCCTGAAGAAGACGTTGTCTGGATGGCAACATATGTTGCCAAAACATGTATATATCATTCAGCATTAATGGTACCTTTACAGATGTGCACGCCACCCATTCCATATGCACTCATGCACCCCTATACCATCATGAATACTGGCTTTTGAACTGCGCACTGATAACAAGCTGAGTGGTCTTTAGCCCGGAGGACACAGCGTCCATAATTTCCAAAAAGAATTTCAAATGTTCATTTGTCGGACCACTGGACACTTTTCCACTTCACCTCAGTCCATTTTAAATGAGCTCGGGCCCAGAGAAGATGGTGGCATTTCTGGATCCTGTTTATATATGGTTTCTTCTTTGCATTTTAGAATTTTACTTGCATTTGTTGATGCAGTGATGAACTGTGTTCACAGACACTGGTTTCAGAAGTGTTTCTGAGCCCATGCAGTGATTTCCACTAAAAAATCATGTCTGTTTTTAATGCAGTGCCGCCTGAGGGCCCAAAGAATCCAGCCAGCAAATACTGGTTTTTGGCTTTGTCCCTTGCGTACAGAGATTTCTCCAGATTCTTTGAATCTTTTAATGTTATTATGTACCATAGATGATGAAAAGCAAAATTTGCTATTTTATGTTGAGAAACTTTATTCTTGAATTGTTGCACTATTTGATCGTGCAGTCTTTCACAGAGTGGTGAACCCCTCCCTATCTTTACTTCTGAAAGACTCAGCCTCTCTGGGATGCTCTTTTTATACCCAATCATGTTACTGACCTGTTGCCAATCAACCACCAGGTGTTTTTTTTAGCATTACACAGCTTACACAACCAGTTTTTTGTTGCCCCCATCTTTTTGGGAACCTATGGTTGGCATCAAATTCAAAATGGGCATATATTTTTCAAAAAACAATGAAATTTCTCAGTTTCAACATTTGATATGTTGTCTTTGTACTCTTTTCAATTAAATATAGAATTCAAATGATTTGCACATCATTGCATTTTGTCTTTATTTACGTTTTGCACAGCGTCCCAACTTTTTTGGAAATGGGGTTGTATTTACTGTTATTGTGATTAAATATTTTGGTTATACAATAATGGGTAGATTGTCTAATGTCAGAAAACACCCGGAATTATTGTTGGAATTATGCTGATTTTGATAGTAGACAAGGTGCCAGTAGACTCAAATTAGAGGAGGGATCAGATAATGTAGGAGCCTTTTAAGGTCCAAGGCCCCGAGTTCCCAAGTAAGAATGTAAGACTAGGAAATCTTTACTTATGTGGTGTTGCGTGTACTCATACTTGTTCAGTATACCAAATAAAGCATGCAGTAGACTGTCCATACCTGAATCTTAAAAACAGAAAACAGTGAAAGTGACCTTTAACTTTTATCTGCCTTTAAAGCTCTTAAAATTTCAGTATACAAGATTTTCCTTTAAATCTTGAGCAAATATTTAAAAGGTCACTATTACCCAATGGTTGTGGAAATGGTGTTTACTAGGGCCTGGCACCAGAAAAAGGAAAGTTTCGAGCAACTTGAAAACTTTATGTGCACTCTGATCCACCTCTTTCAAAACACATCAAGATATAATGCTCACAATAACAAAGATCATTTTTAATGGGAGGGCAAAAGTTATGGCACATTTAAAATTTTATCTTTTATTTTTTCCTATATGTTGAACTATATAGCGAATAAATAGAAATGTATGCCACACTTAACTCTCTTTATTGTAGAGAATGCGTTTAATTATTTTCACTTAAAAATCTGCAAAACATATAATGTGACCGGGGGTATTCACACTTTTGCATACGACTGTACAACCCCAGGTAAATTTGCACAATGCACAGCAGCTTGTGGCCAGTCAAATTACACAGCTGCAACATGACCATGCCACTTCCCTTGGGGGTTATTGTAGCCACACCAATCCAACAGGCATTCACAGTAGCAACTGGTTACAAAATGTCTTATTTAAGCTGACCTATAGGGCTTTTAAATCTAAAACCTATGGTGGTCCCCAGGTCTTTTTTCTGATGTTTACTGGGGAAAAACAGTTGAAAAATGCTACTCTGCATCTTTTCGCAGAAAAGTAAGTCCAGTCAGCAAAAAGAGTGTTTCAGAGTGTTTTTTTTGGTTGAGTGAATGAGGCAGACAGTAATGTGCATCAACACCAAAGGCAAAATATAAGACGGAAAAAGGAACCATTGGTACCACACCATACCTGCCTTGCGTGCCTGTGGGGTATTCCAGATGTGCAGTGAATTTGCAAGGATGTAGGTGAAAATTAATATTGACATAGTTCACCAGAAATAGGTGGACCTGTTGCAGCAAACACATTCAACAAACAAGTACCATGTAATAACTACAGTCCTAATAGCCTACTTCATTATAGGATATGATATTGATATCATAATTAATTATAGCACACTTTCTGAACATACTGTAGGCAATATCAGTACATATACAACACTGACTATCTGCTCATTTTATTAAAATGCAGTAAAAGAAAAGCTCCCAAGAGACCTAGCTATTAAAAGTTTAGCGTCATTGTTAGGAGATCATAAATTTGAATTGTGGCGATGGAACT